CTGATTGTATACATATCTGTTAGTAAGAAAGTATTATGAACTATTACAAAATGTATATGTATATTTTACTGGCTACAGACTTGGTTTTATTAGTTTATTAAAAGCAATTAAGACCAGGAAGGCAGAAAGGCTTTTGAAATATGATTATTTTGAAAATATCTACCTAGACAACTAACATTTTTGAAATATGAATATTATTTATAGAAAGTTAACACTATATGAAGGCGAACATGTTTAATTACAATGCAGTGAGTTATTGTTTAATAATAAATATTTTAATTATATTTTCTACGTCCAATTAAATGGGATTTGATACACTGTGCACCGCGGTCGCGCCCCTCGTAAACTTTGAAACCGGCCCGGCTACGATGTTTTTGTTGCTGCTTAAAAGCGCAAACGCCGGCAGCGAAGGTTCGATTTCACTTTCGCACGCTGTCCCCTCCCCCTTTCGACCACCCCCTGCACCACCCCCGCGGCCAAGGAGCGGGCGCATCTGGGGTGTCATGTTTTCAGCTCTTTACGAGCGATCGCCGCTCTCACCTGCTTTCTTCCAAACGGACCTCGCGTGCTTTCGCTCTCCGATCTTCAATCTCCGATCCGTTGAATCGATGCGATCGCTCCAAGAGAAATTTTTATGATCGATTTGGCGGCATTTTCCACCGGCTTCGACCAGTCCATTCTTTTCGATCCTAAAGGTGATCCACGATCTGTCTCACAGAAATCTTTCAACTCCCAATTACATCTCTTAAAACACTGAAAGACAAAAATAAGTTGTTTTATGACCCATTTATTAGAAAATCAATGACCCAGCAATATGACAATTTAATTTTTAAATATTCTTAAGTGCAGAAGTTTAAAGTATTAAGTGCCAATTTTTATGGATAGGCAACCACTTATGGAAAACAAAAATTTGTAAACATAGAATTTATTGTCTAAAACCTGGTAATATTTGTAACATTATTGTTAAATAAAAATTATTTTAGTGGAGACCAAAATTCACTTCTTTTAAAGTGATTCCTCGTTCTAATTGACTATTTTTGTATAATGCTATCAGGGACAATTATTTATTATATAAAGGGACCTTACAAGTTTTATACAAAGGTGGGTTAAAGGTGGGTATACTCATTTATAAATATATGTTATACATTTTTTATTTGAGGCTGATTTATTTCGAAGTGTTTATAAATTTGAAAAGTGTAGTAAGCCTACAGTATATATGTGTCAGCAGTCCAGGGAAAATGAAAAGCGAATACAAAAGCAAACATCATGCCAAATCTTCCTGCATTACACAAACGCGGAAGATTTTCCTCGTACTTGCACATTTCATGGATTTTCCAGAGCTCAACCTGCATTTTCATGGCATTTCCATTGATGTTTTCCAGCTTTTTGGTCTGGGTATGTGTATGTGTGTGTGTTAGCATGCGAAACTAGCAGTTAAATTAGCAGTTTTTGCCGCTGCCTAAGCTACAATTTTACACTGCGACTCTTTTCGGTTTTTTCTGGGTTTCTTTGGTCTCGGTTTCGCTTTTCGGTTTCTTGCCTTTTCTTTTTATTTTCCTCTTTGCAATTTATAATTGAGTTGCAATTTGGCAGGCAACTATTTGTGGAATGCAGAGGGGACGCGGGGGCGGCGTTTTTCGCGGAACTTGCATGCGTATTAGTCATCAACTGACTGGGGAAAAAAACATGAAAAATTATGGCATTGGTATAAATATTTGGGAACAAAATGGAGGATTAACCCTAAAAGTGTCCCAGTTTAGTGATCAGAAATAAATATCTTAAGTGGTGATGATTTATTCAACTTAAACTTTAATTATTTAAACTTCAGAAAAATAATGTAATAAATATAGGGGTAATAACTACTTTATATTTCACAGAACAACGAAAAATGCAATAAAAATCACTAAACATAAGACTAAAGTAAGACAAACCCTTCCAGATTTCAAGGGTTAAACAGGAGTATGTATTAATATGCCATTTATAGCCTAAACAGAAGACACAACCCCCGATATTACACACAAACAGCCAAAAAAAAAACGTGGCACGATCAAAAGGAGGCACAAATCAAAACGCAGAATCAGAATCCCGAGCAAAAAGCTTAAAACTCGAATTCTGAAATCTGTGAAAATGTTGCCGCACGCGATCGAGAGATTCGCATTTCATTTTATTTCATTTCGATTCATTGATACCGGGCCAGAAAAACAGGAACAAAAAAGGAACGGCCCAGTTCCAAATTAAATAATACGAGCTCTCTGTTCCCTTGCTCCTTATTATTATTATATTGTATTCCACCCTTTTTTTGGTGCTGCGTTTTTTGTGTGTATGCCATTTTCTTAGGAATTCCTGGCAGCCTCATCCGCATCCCATGTCGCACGATCAATCAGAATTTCAGTCTTCACTGCTCTGATTTCGATCTGAATTTGGATCTGGATAGGTATCGGAATCGGGCCATGTTGCGTTCACTTTCCTTTATTAAGGCAGCTGAATCCTTTTTTTGGGGCGGCACGTGCCTAGAACTGCCGATTTCTTCACTTTCCTTGGATCTTTATATTCCCTGCATTCACTTTTTACCCTTTTTACATTTCTGCTCTTCAATTGACACGCCCTCAAGTCACTTTAACGCCAGGCGGACATACATTTCATTAAATTAATTGAAGTAATTTCCAAAATGTTGTGATATACAACTTCCTTAACAAAATATTTCTTTTTATAAGAAATGAATTTGTATTTTGACTCACTATCACTCACTATTTATCATTGTCAATGTGCTTAAGCCAATGAAATAGAAATAAATAAATAAAAATAACTAATTAGATTTGTTCAAATTAAAAAGTTAGAAAAGAGAAAATTCTCTATTATTAAAAATACGATTTAAATTTGTCGATTCTTTTGCTGAAAATAATTTCATATTCTTGTGGATTATGTGGAAATATGTTATTGTTTAAACAAAGGTGCCGCAATATCAATCTTTTAGCTTCTACTTTGATCTAGATCTCGTTGAACTGCGTTTCACTTTTCTTTTTTAAGGGATCAGCTGCCAGTTTTAGGGGGCGGCACGTGCTTTCTTCACTTTCGTCGGCTACTCGGGTTACCTTGACTCACCTTTTACCCCTTCTGCCCTTTCTCCACCTTCAGCCCTTAGATGCCACGCCCATAGTCATTAGGGCGCACACTTAAGACAGGCGGATATTGATTTCGCTGGGTTGACTGGCACTATTCAGCGCTTTCCAGCAGATGATGACATCTGTGTGTGCCCATTGTGTTTCACTTTTCATCAAACTTATATTAATAAGTTGCGCGAGGGGCCATAATTAAAGCGAATTTGATATTTCCGGCCGGAGGAAAGGCATTTGGTTCACTGAACCCAATAAAAATCCTTGAACTCTCGTCGCCAGACGAAATAAAAATATTTGTATACATATGTATTGCCAATAATCTATTTCAAACAAAGACCATGGCAAATATCAGAAAAAAAAACTAAGTTAGAGCAGCGTCTGCTGCCCTTTTGGCGGCACCCTCACAAAATTATTGACCAGAGTTCCATCCATCCCGAGCTCAAAAAAAAAGCAGAGTTCCACACAGAGAAAAATAAACACAAAGTTATATTTTAATAAAGATTTGTAACCTACATGTGGCGTAATAAATAACTAACTCTTATTTAAATAGGTAAAAGTTTATAAATATTTATCATAATTTAAACTGTTTAATTAGCAACTAATATCTTTAAAGTGGGTGTTTCAAAAATTCTGAAGATAGTTAAGGTATTTAATGGTAGACTGAAACATATTTTATATATTGACATTAAATTTTTTGATATATATTAATGTTTTCCCTACGATTTGTTAGGGGCTAAGACTGACACAGATTTTTTCTGCCTGCTGAAAAAGAACAAGCAGTCCGACTTTGAGTTGGACTTGTCCGTCTCATCGGATGGAAGATGCTACCCAAATATTTCTGCTAGAAGGGAGAGGACTTCTGTGCGGCATGTCGACGGTGTTTTTTGCTTCTGCTGGCCGACCCTCCGCACACACATATTTCATTCTAATCAACATGCTGCAAAACATATAATTCGAATTTTTGATATTTCGCCCGACCATTTTGCCGAGAAAATTGCATTTAAACGCCTATTATGCGCTTTTTATTTGCAACCCATACTTTTCTGGACGAATGCTCGGGCTGAGTCAGTCATGCACAAATACAAATCATTGTATAAGCATATACTTTGGCCAAGGTACACTATGTGAAAGTGGTTCCATTGGGGGACTGGTAGCCATGTCAACTAGCTGGCTTCCTGCTTTTTGGGAGTTAATTAACCGAAATCGTAAAATCGTTAGCAAATAAAATAAATTGCGCTCAATTACACGAGTGACAACCAAGGCGCAATCGAGACGCTGGTGATTGACCTCTTTCAATGCGACATTCTTGGCTCGATTCGGCTGGGAAACAACACGGCTCTTCGGTCAGATAATGAACTTTATATACACTTGCATATATACCCGTTCAGCCCCGGCTATGCGCCATGCACTTAATCAAAAAGTACGACAAAATCAAGAGTAAACAAAACTGCAGCGCAGAACTCGACTTGAGAACCGGCAGCGATTCGAACTTCACCCGGGTGCAATGAACACATGATCCGGCCGAAAACAAAAATTTAAATCTCATTCCGTCATATTATGTGTTACCATGCACTGCAAAATAGTGGTCTTTCATTGTAATATGAAACAAAGTTATTTTGTTTTAAAATATTATGGATTTGGCTGAAAATGTAAAGGAAAATGTTTAAGGATTTAAAACACTTGCAGATTTAGTTACAAACTAGATTAAGGATTTTTAGGAGAAAGATGGCTGAACCACCAATCATAGTTGTTAAGAATTTGTTGGATTAGTGATATAGTTATAGTTACGGTTATAGTTGGGCAAACATTTTAAGTTTTATAACCAAAACAATATATAAAGCAACCTTTGCTTTGTGTGTCAAACCCATATACCTCAATGAATTCGGTTTTGTATCATTCTCGTTTGTTTTTTCGGTCTGAACACATCTAAATTTGTTGTGTAGTCTCCAATTATTTTTTTTCGTTCGGTTCAAAGTTAGTAAAATATATGATTATAAAATTTCTATAAATAGTTACATTTTTGTTTTTCTGTTTTTAGAACTTTTTACGGATTCATCATGTGCTGTGGACCTTGTGGACCTTGCTGCGGATCCTGCTGCGGTCCTTGCGGATCCTGCTGTGGTCCTTGCGGCGGAGGATGTGGACCCTGCTTTGGACCCAATGTCTGCGGACCTTGCTACGCATGTGGACCCTGTGGCGGCTGCTACTGTGGATATCCTTGCTGCTAGGCCAGCTGATTGGGGAATTTCCAGAGGGTTTGGCTAGTGTATGCAAATCTAAGTAATAACCCAAAAACAGGATGCCTTACAAATACCTCCTGTCCATCACAAATACTGCTAAGCTTTCATCTCATATCCGTGAGCCACCAAAGAAGTAATTTGAGACCAACATTAAATATGAAGTTTAACTTCTAATTGTAGTTATTTTATTTATGGAAGTAAGGGACAGTAAATATGGTATGCTTTATTTTTCGATTGTCTTGCATTGCACAATGTGTGTATACTTCGACCCCCCATAGAATTGGTTTCTATTCTAGTTGATCAAATATTTACCTGTATTAATGTTTATTGTAACGATTGCTTCACAAATTTTTGTATTTTTATCGATTGTGTTCCATTGCACAATGTGTGTATATTTACGACCCCCCCAAAAGAGATGATCAGTTGTCAATTCTTGGGCAATTTGCATACCCAAAACAATCAAGCTCAGCTGTATTAAGAGCTGAAATTCAGATGTCTAAAGCGACCCGATTAAGAATCGATCGCAGACTTCTAATGCGATGTGGTTGACCTTGACGTTTAGCTGAGAGTTTATTGTCCTTTCAATAGAACACGCTAAATAAAGCTCATTTTAGCAGTACATACATATTTAACCCACACAGCCGTGCATGTTTTTATACATTATTTTTTTTGTTTTTATTTTATGTATATTTACTGCACTAATTCTGCGACGAACTAGTTTCGACACAGCAGATTCCGATTCCGATTCCTGAATTCCGGGCTATATTAAACAACAGCGAGGCGAAAAAAGTCAACAAAGTGCATATAAAAAATGTATTTAAATTTACCCGACTGCCGGTTCCAGTTGCGAATCCCCCTGGAGCCTTTGTCCCCTTTTGGCCACATTATTCCCAACCAATCCGAACCCATCATCAGCTGACTGGATCTACGCGCGCGCCTTGTTAATTGCATCTCCGTTTGTGAGACTTTATGCAAATTAAACAAGTTGTTCGCTGCCAAAATATTGCTGGTCGCGTTGATTTGCTGCTGCTGTATTTGCTTTTAATTATTTATTTGCATTTCTGTGTGCTGTGTGGGACTTAGTAGTCAGTGTAAGTAGTTTGGCTAGTCGAGGCGTTTTGTTTTGCCTGGTCAAAGTAAAGCGAAAAAACTAAATATAAACCCAAACTTAAACAAAACATGTTTCATGTTTTTTGGGCGTTTGCCGCTTGGGGATTTTTCTATGTATGCTCGCTTGCTGTTATTATTGATTAGCTAAATTACTGATAATTAGTTTGACTTTGAACTTGATTTAGAGCTTGTTTGAAGCCGAATCAGCAAATGTGTCAATAGTCGGCAGTTTGGGGGTTCATCGATTGGCGATCGGTGCAAAGAACGAAGCCCACTATCACGTGTTGGGCATAAAATGTCAGTTTTGGAACTATACTCAGTCAATCAAACAAGATTTAGGTTCATTAGCTTCTGTCAAGTCAATTCGGGGTAAAACATTCGCGTTAAATAAACGTTGTAGTCATTTGTGTCAATCCTTCCACTTTACTCCTGTCCCTTAAACTATTTGCCTTTTGGAAAAACGAAAATCTGTTTAAATATAATTAGTAATTCTAGTGTAAGCTTACAATATACGAATATTTGTTTTAAATTGTATTGTTTTAAGAATAAATTAATATCGAAATAATAATAATAAAAATCAATTTAGGTGGCATTTAAAATGTAAATTAACGAGGAAACCGCCCTTCAAATCCTATTTTATTAATAATTCAACTACAGCTATCACTTAAATTTATGAAAATGAATATAAGAGATGTACAATCACCCTAATCTCCTGCTCTTGTTATCCAATTTCCAGCCTCTTTTTTCTGTGGGTAACTGGCACTGAGTTCCTCATTCATGCCCTAATTACAGACCAGTGGATCAGTTCGGAGCATTTCATGATCATGACTAAGGTCAGATTCATAAAAAAACCGCATAAACTAGACCCAATTTAGTTGACAAACACACACGAAAAACGGTGCGCGAAGAAATTAAAAGCGAAATGGAATTGTTTGTGCAAAAGCCGCCAATTCGAAGGTGAGGGGCTGCCAAGTGTTGGGGGTGCCGCATTTGCATAGACATTTGCACGTCGAGGTTTGTGGTTTTGGGTGTCCAGAGGCGTATCGGGTGGATGATGGAGGCCCCCTACACGGTGGGAAATATGAAAAGATTTCAAATTTAATCTTACACAGAGCTTTAAAAAATGTTGTTGCTTAATTTGAAATAGTTAAAAATTAGACCCACTTAAAAATTCATAAGAACCAAGGCTTTGAGATATCTTTTGTTAAAAAAAACATTTTGCATAAGTTAGTTTTAATAAATTAAAAGGCTATTTATTATATTGTATTTTAATATGGAAACCTATAAAATGTTATCAAGATTTTCTTTAATAGGAGAGTGTCAGAAAATGTATGTGACCTAAAAATAAGATCTAAATCAGATCATTTAGTTTGTCACAAACCAAGATTATAGATTTTTTCTGCGTGTATTAGATAGCGAGTGAGGCGCTTCCATTTTCAAGGGTTCGCCTTGTCTGGCGGCTCGTATTAGCCGCTTCCACATTGAACTTGAGCTCTCTCTACAACTCCCGGGGCGGCGGTGCATAATCCAAGACAATCCAATCAGGTTCTGGGCGATTGTTGTTGCCGGATCTGGTGCAGTTGCGCATAAATCATGCGCGTCCGATGATATCACGTGTTATAATTAGACCGATGCCTTTTCACTTTCCACCGGGCGGGCCAAAACCAAGCTCAAATATCCGCATCCGCATCTAAGGCAACTGTCCGGGTGACAGCTGAAAATCGTGATATTTGATGTTTGTATCTGCGATTTGATTTGACCAGGAACGGAACGGATCGGATCGGATCGGATCGGAACCCCATTGAGCCATCAATGGACATGGATTGCATTGCCCGTAAAGTGTCGTTCATTATGGCCTGGTTGTTATTGTTGGTACTGGGCTGTGGGCCCTGGGCTCTTGACTCTTGGCTACAATGTAATCGCCGGCGGGCTCTTTAAAATATGCAGCGGGGGGATACTGTCGATATCGCGGGGCACTCCATCCAACACTCGGATGAAATCCACTTGGTATACTCCACCAGAGCAGCAGCAGGTTGACCATGAGAACATGTTATTAAATTACCGTAATAATGTATTAAGTATGTAAGAATGCTACAAATGTTAATATGTAATAATAATTGTAATGGCCAGCCGGCTATATGCCAATATGTCAGAGAGACCGATCTACTCGACTTTGCTCCCACTTCTGACCACTTCTACGCACAGTGTATCGCACTCGGTGGCCAGCGCCCATTTGACATTTCCATTTTCAATTCCATGAAAGTGCTAATAATGCACTTATGTATACGTATACGTATTGCCCTGGGGTCGATTTCGATATATCGGCGATATATATACAATTTATGGTGCCTTCATTTGCGTCGGTTGAAACGCAACTGGGTTGGGTTTTGATTCTGTTTTAATTCTTTATTTCAGAGCCACCCATAAGCTGATTGTCAAGTGTATAAATACATATATGGAGGGGGGAATCCAGAACTTTTGGAAAGTGTGCCGAATTCTTACGAATGTGATGACATAAAAGCCGTAATATCTTTTAATCGTGGTTTTTTATAATTTGATTACAGTTTATTTTGAGTATACGTAAATTCTAATTAGGTAAAACATTTAATCCATGGATATTAATTAACATTGATTTTGAGTAGCGCTTTTAGAACTATGACTTTAAAATACTGAAAAGAGTTTTAATAATCTTAGAAGATATTTTTTCAAATCTTAGTTTAATTAGTTTTTTTTCTTAAAAACCCTTTTTTATCTATTTCTGGATATTAGGATATAAATCTTTATTATTTACTATTTCTCTACAAAATCCATCGATGAGCCTTCAAATTCTAAGAATCATGACGTTTCTTCCCAATTTATTTCTTTACGTAGCCAAGCCTAAAAATAAGTTCTTTTAAATAGACTCTGTTATTATCTATGAATTTTAATACTGTTGTGTACATAAGTCCCTTAATTATATGCAAACGCTCGGATGGCTTTCGTCAAGACAACTTAATATAAAAATATGTTAATTAATTTTTTCCCCTTTATTATTCCTTTTTTTTTTATTAAACGTTCCCGGGTGCGCATTTGTTCTCTTCTTCTTATGTCTGATGAATTCGGGTGTTATGCAATCAATACGATAATTTCAACATTTCTACAATAATAAACATCTGTATTGAAAAAAAGTTAAGGATATGCATATCAAGTTTTAATTGCACGATTTTCTGGATTTGGGCTCTTATTTATGTTCATTGGCTCTTGTTTTGACTTTTTCTTTTTGTTTGTCGGCTGCTGCCAACGAGTTAAACTTGTAAATAATTCTAATTATTGTCTCGGCGTTTATTTAATTAATTAATATTACCTATTTATAAATTGCCATAAATGATGTTGAACAATTGTGTGTTTCTTGGGACCGGTGCATAAAGTATTTTAATTAATGGCCGCAAATGTCAGTCACAAGTGGTGCTCCCCTTGTGATGTCTCGTATTTTGATATCTGCATTAGCATGTTCTTTTTCGCATTGTATATTTGTGTATTTGCACAATTGCAAATAGTAAACAATCTGCGACTGGGCCCGATCAACAGCCGATCATTAAACATTTATAAACAAATTATGTCAATTTGTATGTAAACACGAAACCAAATCAAATCGCAGCGAGTGGCTGGCCATCGAATGCAGACGTGTAAAGAGTCGCCTTTCGGCTAGCCGGCTCACACATTTTGCAAATATTGGATTGCAGCTCACAGCTGGCACTTCGCAGTCGATTCGGCTTACAGATCACAGACAGAAAAACATTTAATCAATATGATATGTTTTTGTTTTTTTTAGAAGAATCGATTGTTGTTCAAAGTCTAGTTTTATGATTAAGAGGTGGAATAGGATTTTTAAATCAAAAAATTGAGGAAAAACATGTTAAGCTGACAATGTAAAAATAATATATATTCTTTTTTTTTGAAGACCAATTAACAAATATATAAAAAAAAACTTCAGTAAAGTGTAAGGTGCATACACAATGTATAAATCATTTTCAAGAGCTTACTTAGTCCTACAAAAATGAACTTGGATTATACATAGCATGTGT